TATATATATATATATATATATATATATAGATATATTCGAATGCTTGCGTTATTTAAAGAAAAAAAGAACAACTCAAATGTCAGTAGCTTGTCATAACAGTAGGTTCAAATGTCAGTAGCTTGTCGTAGCAGTGCATCATACAGAGAGTACGTAGAATGGAACGTCTTACTTTCCCCTTTTCACAAACGCCAAGTAAAATTAATATTATATAATTAAAATAAACGTGACAATATATCTATTGCATGCCCAAGTCTTTTTGAATTTGGAGTCATTAAAAAAATATAGAAAACATTTTAAAACATTAATTTGACGAATAGACGTACATAACAGTATTTTTTTTTTTAAAACAGGGGGGGGGGGTAAATAAAAATAAATGTATTTAAACATAAACGGTTTTCATTGCATATGAACTGAACTAATATTACTAAACAAAACAGTGAAGTTTAGAAAATTGGCAGCTAAAATTTGTGAGATCAGTTAACATAATATTATAGAACATGTTTTATGAGGCCCGGACATTCGATAGATCTAAATAAAGGGTCTGAATAATCCGTCCCACTCATGGCCTGCCAGAAGCTCCACTACCATTTATGGCTAGTAAGTCGGCCACCCGTTCTAAACAAAAAGTTTCTCGTCATCGCCAGTCAGTATTTAAACCGGGACCATTCAGCGTAGACCTTCAGAAAGCGACTGATACGGCTGAGAGAACAAGTGGGGGAATAAATCACTACAGCTGATAACAATACACTTTATGAACAGACTGATTTAACACGGGTGACACAGGAAAGCATTTGGTTTGCTCCATTAAGTCCATTTGACAACTTTGATAACTTTTAAAAGGACTGCTGTGCCCGGTGCTAAAGGATAGCTGTCGATTCAAACCTAACAAGGTTACTACTACTAATAATAAACATCACCAACTTTGATTCCATCAACCATGTGTGATGACGAAGTAGCCGCTCTGGTAGTGGACAACGGATCCGGCATGTGCAAGGCCGGCTTCGCTGGAGACGACGCCCCCAGGGCCGTTTTTCCTTCCATCGTCGGGAGACCCCGCCACCAGGTCTGTAAAATGTAGTCATATTATGCTGCATCTGATATATGTTTTTTTCAGAACCTTGGGGGTATAAATATCATTAGAACTGAAATAGGAAATGTATTTTAATTATTTTTTTTTTTTTTTTTTTTTTTACTCAGCTCTTAGCAATTTGACTAAAGATACTAAAAATGTGTGTAATTGAACAACACACTAATGCTGAGGTAATGTTTGAAACAAGCAAATTCATACGTTAGGGTGAAATGCATTCGTCGGTAAAACAAACAAAAAGTACAGGAATCGAAATTCAATTTTATACAATACAGGGGCTACAACTCATTCATACTGAAGATAAAACAGGGGCTTTAAGTCATTCATAAGAAATACAATACAGGGGCTATAAGTCACAGAATAATGGAATTTTTTTTAAAAGTGTGTATTCCATGCTTTGCGTCAAAAAACGGAGGTCGAGTCTAAACATGATCCGTTTTTTATGTGTTCTAATCTTTTTAACTGCAGTGACTTGTTAGTTGTATATACTTTTCTCGCTCTTAAACGTGTAACGAAAACATTTGTCATAAAGTACTACGACATTAAACTACTGTCCATAAAGTAATCCGCAGATCACCATATGTCATTAAAGTAGTCCACCGGTTAAAATATTTTCATAAAGTAATTCGTTTGTTAGAATATGTCCTTAAAGTAATCCGTCAGTTGTTATGTTTTAACCACAGATCATCATGGCTGGTATGGGCAACAAAGAGAGCTACGTGGGTGACGAGGCACAGTCCAAGCGGGGCATCCTGACCCTCAAGTACCCCATCGAACACGGCATCGTCACCAACTGGGACGACATGGAGAAGATCTGGCACCACACATTCTACAACGAG